AAAGGTACATGGAGCCTTTGGGGATAAGGTGCTCGCCTTTTCTGTTTTTTTTCATGGCTCCTAAAAAGAAGATCTTGCCATTTCGAGTCGACATTTGTATTCCCGTAAACTCCCAGGACTTCCACTGTCACCTATACATCCTCGTCCTCAACCCTAAACTCTATTAATTCCTATAAACTTCGTGAACCCGATAAGCCGGAAATACTTTAAACAACTGCAAACCCCTTGCGTAAAATCAACCCTTAGTATCCTAAAAGCCTTGCAGTTAGACCCTCATCGTGAACACAAAACCTTCAAGTTGCATTGTACGTAAACCCTAAANNAACCCTGAACTCCCTAGAACCTAAACCCTATGCCCTAAAACCCTAAACCCTAAGCCCTGAAACCTGAACCCTAAACCCTACCTGCAGGTGGCCTGGCCGATGTGGCCGCAATGCCCCCTGAGGAGGCCCAGCGGGCCGGCCGGACAATGAGTTGTTGTTCAGATTTTAGGGCTCGGGGTGGTTTAGGGTTTAGGGTTTAGGGGTGGGGTTTCGGGACTTGGGGGTTTAGGGATTTGGGGGTTTAGGGTTTAGGGTTTAGGGTGTTTGGGTTTAGGGTTTTCAGATTTTAGGGTTCAGGGTTTAGGGTTTACCTGTAGTCTCCATTGTAGTTCCTTTTTGGGGATACCTTATAGGATCCTAATTATTAAACTGGTTAAACCAAAAAACAGAAATACAATGTAGACTATAGGTAAGGTTTCAGGGCTCAGGGGTTTAAGTTTTAAGGATTTAGGGAGCTAGGGGTTCCGGGGTTTCAGGTTTTCGGACTCAGGGGTTTAAGGTTTTAGGGTTTAGGGTGTTAGGGCTCAGGGGTTTCAGGTTTTAGGGCTCAGGGTTTTAAGGTTTTAGGGTTTAGGGTTTTAGGGTTCAGGGTTTGAAGTTTCGGGTCTAGAGACTACGGTTTAAAGTTATGGTTTAGGGTTTAGGGGGTAGGGGTTTGGCGTTCCGGATTTAGGGCTAGGCCTCCTTGGTGCCAAAGGCCTTTGAAGTGCTTTATACGTGCACAGTGCTCTCATGACTTTATGAGTAATTTGGCCGGGCCTCCTAGAGTTGAAATCCCTAAGCTACTATTATTTGTAAACCCTATAAAACCCTAAACCCTAAAGCCTAAACCCGAAACCCATGAAAGGCTTTGCAGGGGTTGACAGGGTCTCAGAATTGCGGCTCGATTGGGGTATGAAGCATTTCAGGGTTTCCTTTTCTCAGGATCCCTGTGCATTCAGAGTTTGTCCCAGGGCTCGGCAAACTTTTTATTCGGTCCAGGGTTTCAGGATTTAAGCAAGAGGCACAGGGCCCAGAACATGTCGCAGAATGACACCATGTGTTTTCATGCATAATACGCAAAGCCCTATTCGGCCACATCCCGTCCATTGAGATTGGAACCCGTTCATTTTTCTGGAGCTTCCGCTTGAGAGCTTCGGGTTTCGGGGGTCAGACGTGTGAAGCTTCGGGTGTGCGGCATACAGGCTTTTAGGTTAGGGTCGTAGGTATCTAAGTTGGGTTTTCTAGGACTGCGCCCAGTTCTGCAGGGATGTGTACCTATAGTCTCCATTGTAGTTCCTTCTTGGGGCTACCTTATAGGATCCTAATTATTAAATACAGGTTTACCGAAAACAGGAACTTCAATGGAGACTATAGGTAATCCCTAAACCCTAAACCCTATGAGCCCTATAGACCCTAAAACCCTAAAGCCCTAAATCCTATAGACAATGTAAACCTATAATTATAAAGCCTAAAACCAAGAACGCCCTAAACCCGTCAAGGGAGACTATAGGTATAGTCAGAGTTGTCAACTTCCTGTCCTCGGGCTTTCTTTCGGGTTGTCTGGCTGGTGCTTAGTAGGGAATGGGGGAATGCATCCCTATGATAGTCCCTTAAGGTCCCTTATAGTGTTCCCTAGAACCCATTCCCCCATTCCCTACTAAGCACCAGACAGTTCTTGGACCGTGGCCTTCCTTTGCTCCAGGGCCTTCGAGTGTTAGGGTCTCTCGGGTTCTAGGATGCCTTGGCAGAGTCTGCCTTAAGGACGAAGATGACCCTTAAAAGCAGGGGCCCTATACCCTTCTACTATGAACCCCTATATGGTATATGAACCTTAAATCGTTTTAGGGTCATGTCTTCCTTAAGGTGCTGGCTTTAAATGACTGCGTGTAACAGTGCGAGCAAAGCCCGATACCCTAAACGGCCGCAACTAATCTAGGGACCGGAATAATTACCTATATTATTTTGGTGGTTCCTTATCAGAATTAGGGTATAATGGGCCCCAAGACCCTATTTTAATTATGATGGCCCCTATATTACTATATCCAGGCATTTGGGCTTCGGGTGTAGGTTGATGACGATGACTCCGCCCCACAGGCCCTGATTCCCAGCGCGTGAACCGTCAACCCTAGACAGCGGGGGTGTCCTTCCCTAAACCCTAAACCCTAAACCTAAACCCTAAACCCTAAACCCTAAACCCTAAACCCTAAACCCTAAACCCTAAACCCTTCCCTGGCATGTGTGACCATGGGAAACCCCCGAACTGCGAAGCGGGATTTACACCTGGAGGTGTGTGTATTTGGGGGCTTTCGGGCTTAACTTGGTTTGCAGTTTCCAGGATTAAAACCTGCCATCCTCGGCTTTTTATGTGGTCGGGCTTTTTGCTGATCCCAAGAAGCACCTTCGTGCTGACAGGAAGGTGCTGGGTTCTTGCCTTTCCTTCTGCTGATCGTCCTCGTCGGTGCAGGCGCGTTGGGATTGTTCCTATAGTCTCCATTGTAGTTCCTCTTTTTTGGTTTAACCAATTATATATTAAGGAATGTATAAGGTATCCCCAAAAAGGAACTACAATGCAGACTACAGGTTGTGTCCGGGGAAGAGCAGGTTGGGCGACGGCGTTCACGTACTATAGGGGCCTAAATACTCGTAATCACCTATACGATCTAGGGGGGTCCTTATTATGGTTATAGTATGATGGCCCGAAAAACCCCATTCTAATATATACTTCCCAAGACCACACATCAAGCCGCAAAGCCACAGGTGAGTTTAACGGCCTGACTGTGTTGGTCGGGCTTTCAGGACGCATTGGGCCGAGCATTTACACAGCTTACGTGGTGACAAGCGCGGTAGGCCTTCAGTGGCAGAATCGAAAAAAAGCTCATTCAATGGTTGCTTTTGAAAGACATTGGGAACGGGGCTTTCTCCTGAATTTGACGATCTTTTCGCAGGCTCACTTGTCAGCCCTGTTCGAAGGTGGACCTTCGTGTGTGCTCAGTTGGAGCAAAGGCTTGTCCAACTCATGACGTTCAAACGCGATCGTGGTTGGATTCGTGGGTGCCTTTTCAGCTCGGGTTCGCAAGCCGGGTCTCGACCATGGTTAAGATAGCCCTCGTCGTGGGACATGCGAAGCCCTCGAGATCTTGCATGGACAGGACTTGAATTCAGTCGAAAAGGAGTCACCACAAGTTTCAGCCTTCAAATGTGAGACATGCAGCAGTCGCGAAGCCTTTCGGCAAGTTTGCCCAATCTCTAGCCTGCCCATTTCTGTCGATTCTTCAGCCATATCGCCATCATACATGCCCTTCCCATCGAGAAGGTGTTTATCATCATAATCGCGCGACCGTTTGAGAGCCCCATCTAGGCCGGCTAGTATATAGACTCTGATCCATCCCCAGTTCCGTGATAGAAGAGTCCCTCCAAAGCAAGTTCGTGTTCGCGCATCGGGCATGGCCTCGTTCGTCGCCATTGAAGCGTACTTGCCTCCTACGTATGCATGTACGGCAGCAGCTAGCCAACCCGCGAGACATGTAGTTCTACATACCAGTGTGTTTATTGTGGTTTCTTGCACTTGCTGAATTACCACATAAATGGCACGACCAAAGTTACGGGGTTCAGGCTTCTGGATGAAAGTATACAGACCTATAGCTTGTGGACACAGAGACAAACTCATCGAGATTGATGCACGGCTGGCATGGACCTAAAATCACGAAGATAGTAAGCTCAACCCCTAAATCCTAAACCCGGAGCCCAAAGCCCTAAACCCTAAATCCGAACTGAAAGAGTGTTGTGCTGAGATCGAAGGCTGGTGGTTCTGGTCCAACAGCAGCGCTCAGACTTCCCCAGGCCATGAAGTTGCGAAGTCCGCTTTTGCTGTAACCGGGTTTAGGGTTTAGGGTTTACAGCTACAGGTATACGTCCCCAAGCAGATTGCGGTTGATGATATAAATCCTGCATTACCCTTCATAAGGAATATACCACAATGCCCATAGCTTACGGTCCTTGCGGTAATTCAATGCAGGATGTATATCATCAACCGTTGTTAGGGTTTAGGGTTTAGGGGCCGGGCCACGTAGAGGTTCAAGGCTGAGAGCTCTCTCTCCAGGGTTCGGAGTTGCCGAGGTCTCAGGCTTAAATATAGGGGCCTTAATGATTAGAATAGGGTTGGG